TTGTAATTATTTTAATTATTTTTATTTCCAAACTGATTTTAACCAGTTCTATAGTAAGGTAACATTCCAATAGACAATATGCAAAGCTTTTTTTTCAGTTTACAGCAGTATTTATTACACAAAATTTAAGTAAAGCTTAACATGCCGATCTTGCCCCGATCTCCCCTAATTAAAAAATTACTTTTATAACTATTAATTAATAATTGTGATTTATTTAAAGAAATTTGCTACCATAACTTTTGAAAAATTAATTATTCATATAATAAGTTTTGAACTAAAACAAATTATATTCTGTTACTTACCGAATTATTTGTTATTAATATTTCTTTTCTTTTTAGGAACAATTTGTACTGTGTTACAGAGTTACAACAACTTATCTGGATTCATTCCAAATATATGCCAATATCCAATAAGAAATGATCTTGTCATATAAATATATGTTAGAATTAGATATTTTTATTTTAATCAAAGTAGCAAACGTATTTTAAATGCAATAATTTCAGAGGTTACATTATTTTTAAATATTAGATAAATAAATAGCATTTAATATCATTTGTATGACAGCTTACTGTACTAAAAATTAATTGTTTAATCGAGACTCAAATAAAATATTAATATTGATTATATTTATTAAACTAAATTGTTGTGTCTTATTATTACTTAAATCAACAAAATTTAAACATTTGCATCTATTAAATTTTTTAAATAGTTTTCTTTATTCAACTGTATAATCATTACTTTTTATATTTAAAAGAACTGGTATCCTAAATTTCATAGTAGAAAATGCAACTTTATAATATTTATTTTAAACCAAAACTAAAGCAGCGGCGGTCCAAACAAAATATAAAGGTACATTTACAGAGACTAATTTTTTAAAATTTTACGATTTATGTAGCAGGCATAAAATAATCAAAATACACAATTAAATAGACAAAAAGAATGACGTAATGAAAATGCTAGCAACTCAAAGAATTAAGCATAATAAATATAAGTTATAATAGCATAATCAAATATTTTATCATCTTTATCTTTTGTTTTTAAACAGGATCTCTTATTATAGACAACATTAATAATTAAAATCTTTATAAAAAATTTTAAAAGTTACAGTTACATGTTCTGCTTTGTATAAGATTCTAATTCTTTTGCAATTTCTTTTATTTCTGTTTTACTAATGCAGATATTCTTTTATTTAACTTCATGTAAATTAAAACAGTGAAAAAAACCAGCAAACATTTGAAATCTTGGTGACGCTATCTATTGCCATGTTTTATTAAAACTCTTTTTATATTTTTAGCTATTATAAAACGGCAAAATCTTCATTTGAAGGTAAAAATGAGTTTCATAAATGAAAAAATTGTGAATGCTAATAACGAGTAGAATCGTCATTAAGTCCGACCATACTGGAGGGGTGGGGAGATAATAGGGGGCGTGTATACACGCCCCCTATTATCTCCCCTCCCCTCGACCTCTAATCACCAAAATTTAATAATATCAATTCTTCTAATAAACAAACCTCCATGCAAAATTTCAAAAATTTATGACAAAGAACACAGGCGTTATTAAGTTTCAGAGAAAATGAACAAAATCGTGCCCCCACACACAAACTAACATCCATATATAGCCTACAGAAATTATCTTCGAATTTTTTTGCATTTCTGGATGTTTCAACATGTTCTAAGTCCAAAAATGTAAAAATCTTCGGGAGGTCAATGTTTACCAAATCGCCATAGTTTCCCTCTGTTATAACAGCCGGAAAAGTGATATCGAAATATTAAAAAATCACAGCAATGTTTGATTGATCTTTCTTGCTGAAAACGTTACCTGCTTAATTAACAACAGCGGCAATTACTACGACACAAATGCGCAGAGACGATCTTCTATGTCGTCTACTCAACAGCAAGCATCCAAATATGAAATATGTAAAGCACCCTCGTTGTTACTTATTTTAAACTCGGTCAGTTACAAAGAAATAGAAGATTGACTGCTACAACTGTTAGGACTGGACCCTAGTCGCGTCCTTCTCGACCAACAGAACATCGAACAAAGACCCAACGAATTTCTTGCTTGCTCGTCGACATAACAAAATCAACTGTTGGTAAATAGCTATTTTGAAAGAAAATCAATTCTTTTAATATTATTGCCAGTTGTCCTCGACTGCTTATTCGTCGAATGTACGTTACATTCGCTTATTTCGCAGCTAACCTCTTTCGAGGTCGTTCCACTATCCGCAACCCGTGGACGCGCTCGGTGGCACCTGGCCGTGCCCACAAAGGCCGAGAGGCGCGTGCTTATTTAATGGTGGCACGTACTCGCCATATTTTGCTACCGTCTTAGGATTTTTGTGGCATTTTCTAGAAATAGCGTCGCCACTTCGCTACCCACCACATCCTCATAGTATCACAATTACCTGAAAATAAAAGTTCTTATCTCAAAATTAATACTTACGTACAGTACCTTCACACCTACTGTAAACTTATACAGTATCTATTTCCTACAGAATCAGGCGTAGACACCGCATCAGAATGTCAAATTGGTAAAGGAAGTTTCACTATTTTTCCATATAATTTTATCAATTTAATTATCAACATATGTTTACTAACAGTAATAACAATAGATATGTTTACTTTCGAACGGGAAAATTCTTACAAATAATAAAAATAGTCCAATTTCCCTGATTAACTGTTGTAAAGCAGTCGCTTGGCATTCGGCTCGGTATATTCGAAATCCAACAGTAAGTTTCTGAGACAGCCTTATATATTCCGGAACCTCGGGTCTCACCAAGTTAATTCTCAAAAAGTGCTTGAAAATAAGAAACTTACCTCTGACACTTACGACAAGTGTATCGAGTCGATGGGATTACATGCTTAATTTAGTGGCGGTATGATCTCGCCACGTTGTGTTACCTTCATAGGACATTCGTGGCATTTTATAGAAACAGCGAGGCCATTCGCCCTCCCACCACGTCCTGATAGTAACACCGTCTCCTGAAAATATCATCTTTTACATGAATTTTATGAAAGTGAAATCTATAAACTTGTTTGCTGATTTCTGCTTTATAAATTTCGCTTTCTACTTAAATTATTATTGGGTATTTTGTCCAAACTTGACGTAGGAAGACGATTAAGTAAAATACTAAATGTCAAAATGAATTAACAATAAACTTTTCTTCATAATAATGTAATTTTATATAAGAATGAGCATTTACTTATTGTTATATCGTCACAATGCTGGGCTGCAATTTTTTTATCTTATTTTAAATTTATTTCATTTAGATATATGTTGTCCATTTTAGTAGTTCTTTGCCCCTGTACCCATTATACTTTTCCTTTAACAATATAATGGTGCCAGTCATCTATCTAACACTTTTCAAGGGAAACTTTTTGAATTGAAATAACGTGACTTCTGGTATACATTGTACATTGGAAGTTCACATATAGTTTTTTCCCCTCTTTGATTTGTGTGTCTGTTTCGCGTAACGCCACCTCGTATAACGCGCACCCGTCCGCCCCTACCCCGGCATATTGGAAGTTCATATATACAATCGTTGCCTCCTATCCCTAAGCTTTGCACGATTAACTCGACTTTCATCTATCGAACTCCGTTCTCGAGATTATCAAAAAAGGATAGACAAATAGACGTATGCCAGTGGGAATTTATAGATCTATAATTTAAAATTGCAGCCAACTACTTAGTGTTTACATAAATTTATTAAATAAAATACTGAATTTGAGTTATATTTAATACTTAAAATAATTTTCTATAGTAAAATCTTCTATTAATTTCTAACGTTTTGAGTTTATTTGTATAGGTTATCATCAAGTTTTTTAAAACAGTTTTTAGAAACTTACATTTCATTTAAATTTTAAGCTTTGAAGAATTTTAAATACAAATTTAAATTTAAACGAATTAACTAAATATCTAATGAAAAATATAAGGTTAACAATAAATAAAAATAAACTTAAGAAATATACATGATTTACATAATACAAATAAATATGCGAATAATAAAAATATATACAAAAAACTATCAGAGAATAAAACGAAATCTAAATATTATCGTAGTCGTTAGCCATAATTCAGGGGTATTTCTGTCCAAATCCTCTTTCAATGATATATTTCCAGGCTGAAGGTAATGTGTTTGCATCTTTCGTGTTCAGAAAATACCCCCGAATATTTTTGCATTTCTCGACGTTTTAAGGTGTCCTAAGTCCAAAATTGTGAAAACTGTGGGGTCATTTTTTGAAGATCGCCGTTCTTTTCCTCTGTTATATATAACAGTAGCGAAAGTAAAAATTACAACTGCATTTAACATTTTATAAACCATTTTAAGAGTTGATATAAATTGCTATTCAGTAACCTTTTGTTACCTCGGAAAACAATGAGTATGAATTAAAGTATGACATGTCAATATAAATCTACCAAGACCAGATTTCTATTTCCTTTTTAATTATACTTATTATTGTCATAGTCGGTTGTAACCAATTTAAAGTCAACCATTTAACATAATCTGTTGTGTATACATATACAGTATATATTAAACAACACGTCACATTAAAGTTCAACCTCTCTTTTCACAGATGTAGGAAGAACTGGAATTCTTTTCTGTAATTGACATTTACGTATACACTCCCATTTAGCATTATTTTTACTTTAACAATGACATTTAAATATTTAATATTTTGATTTTTATTTCGACAGTATCAGTTGCGATTTTATTACACAGATAATTTACGAAATATAAAAATTAAATCTTAAAAGTCATATAGATTTTTATAGATATTCCTTCTCTGTTAGCTTTAATGACACTTTAATGTAAGTGTCCTTGTATTAATACAGTGATAATTCGTTAGTTACTTGCTACAAAATGTGTAAAAATTAATTTAATATCTAATAAAAATCGTAAAATATCTTAAAACGAATTGTAAAAAACTGAACGAAAATTTCGTCTTTTTACATTTAGCCTCATCCTTCCGTGATTCATTGATGATTTCATTTGTTCTAATATTACAATAATATGTGTTTGAATTGTTACTCATTTTGAAATGAAAATATTTAAATTATATATAGAAAGAAGTCAGATTTTCAGGTATTTATAAATAAGTAAACATGCATATAAAATAGAAATCAAAATATTTTTATTAGCAAATTAAAAAAAAAAAACATTAAACACTAGTAAAAGAATAAAAAATAACGAGTTATTTCTCAAATAGAATAAAAAGAACAAAATCAGAATACTTGATGCCGTGAGTATTTGATAAATTATAATATTGTATTTTAAAAAATGTAAAAATATACAATATTGAAGACACATACAGAAAAAAAATTCTTGCAGTCTTTAATGTCCTTTCACAATCACTGAAACACAATCAACATTGGCGGAATCGACCTTTCTTTATAAGCTCTTTCCCTTCTATATTTATGTAAATTGGTAAAAAGTTCCGTGACGTTGGATACCTTCAAAAAATTTTTACATTTAAATAAACAAATCGTATTTTTTTGTATCTGTCTTCAATGTTGTATGAAGAAGATAAAGACATCGCGTTTGTTTGCTATTATAAATCAATTTTATAATTTTTAATAGGCAGAAGTTTAGAATTATTTGTGTCGATCAGTTTCTGGGTAGAATAAAATATAACATATTCGATAAGTGAAAAATTAATTCAATTAAATGTGACGAAAATCTGCGTGAGAATTTTTCTTAATGGAATATTACGAATTGCAGTTTATTGAAGATGCCCCTGTAAAGCTGGTTTCACGTCTCAACTTTTGTGTATTGCGGGGTAATTGTAGTTCTGGAAATGATGCTGCTGGTGACAGATGTTTATTACTTTTTTTTAAACACATAAAGACAATTACATGTGTACAGTACATTATCCTGGCGAAACCTGAATATTAAATACTAAATGGATCAAACATACAGAGAAGTTGAATTGCAATTTTTAGTTTATAGTACAATTGAAGAGGGCCAAACAAGCAATTATGCCCAAATGTATTTTGTAATAAAAGTTAAATCAATAGATAATAAAACATTTTTTCCGAATGTAAAATACTCGTTTACTTACATCTCGGTAGTTAGTGGCAAATAAGATAAAATGAGATCATTATTTGTCAGCTTAACTTCACTAATTCAGTGATTCAAATGTTTAAAAGTCACCTCTCATAAGTTTGCAATAATAACTACTATTGTATATTATTATAAATAAACAAATAAAACTTCTAAATTGTACAGATACCTTATCACATATATTTTTTGTCATTCGTTTTTGGGTTTCCGCCCTGTCGGCATTAAGAGGACCTTTTTTTTATTCCACACCCATCATGGGTTCGACCAGGTTCACAAAAGGTGTGGAATACAAAAAAGCAACTTCCCAGGAATAAAATATTCCCGGGGAGTTGCTTTCTAGATTTGTTTCCGAGTCCTCAAGAGCAGCTCGCCTTTACTACTTTAGTCATTCTCTAATTTATCTAAAGAAGCTTTGTTAGAACTTAGAAAATAAATACAGCATTGAAGAAATTTTCATACGTTCCTTTCTTTGTTTTAACTTTTTTGCTTAAGGTTCGTAAAATAATATTTAATCGCATATATGCTGAAAGCTTAAAGACCATTTTTGTATAGTACAGAGGTCACCAACCTTTCTGATCTCACGAGCCACTAAATTCTCAATTTTGAATCCCGCGGACCACTGTCATGAATTATTTTTAAACGATACAAACATCTGTAGAATAATGATCATAAAAGTTTCATTTTATTTTATTTATTAATATGAAATTCACTTATATACTTGTAATTATAACAAATTAGTGTGAAGCTTGTTGAAATAAGTTTATGGATTTTTGGCTCTTTTACACTAAGGAAGACACTCACATTATTTATTAATTATTTATTATTTTATTAACATTACGAAAGAATATTTTTATTGCATGAGTTTGAAAAAATTTGAGTTATGACAATTTTGAAAAGATTAATAAAATGCATCTTCCAAACCTTATTATTTGCTGATATATTGTAAATGAAACGTCAACAGAAGCATCTAAAATTGTAAAAAAAAAGGAAAAAAATAATATTTTACAGTTTAAATAAACTTTACTAAAGATTAAACTTTCGCACCATTAAAATAAAATTAAAAAATAAATGATAAATCTTATAATTGAATTACCATAACGAAATACTAAATTAAATACTTATTTAATTTAATATTGCTTTAAAACCGAGTATATCTAGTAAATATTACTTAATTTTATTAATTATAGTTGCTTGAGGGGTTAAAACTCTTAATATATTGTTTATTCCTATACGTTAACGATTGTTAATATGTGCATATTTCGAATCAAAGTTAATTCGAAATTTATATATGTATTCACAAATCGTGGATATTCTCTCGGCCTAATTAAACAAGATACTTTAAGAGGATAGTAATAAGCATCAATAAAACACGAGTCATTTAACCTAACATTTGCCAAACAGAATGGTATCTTCCTAGTTCCTACCTACCCTCCATTCCTTCGAATGAAGCTAATCCGGTCATCTTGTGACCTTTTAGCATATTTAGAAGCCACGAAGCTCCTCTCAGAACTCTTTTTGTTAATTAAAGTATATAAGCTATAACGCATTTCATTCTTTACATCAATTTTAAAAATTTTAACGTGTTAATTAGTTTAAAAATCTAGTTTAAATATTGCCGAGTGAAAAAAAAAGTATCTAACTAAAAAGAAATTTTGTTGAATTAATTAAATTTCCCGTTTCATTTTTAGTTCCGTGCAAAAATTAGAATAAGTTTTCTATAAAAGAATCGATCCTAAAACACAGTATCGATCTTCCTGTAGCTTCTTGCACTTCCATGTTTTCAACAGGGTGAACACAAAATCGAATATGTGGGATGTTTCGTCCGCAATAGTTTCTTTTACTACGATCAACAGTTAAGAAAAGAAAGAGAAACAGCAACTAGATTTTTCAAGTAATTTTATTCACTTCATATTACAACAAAATTGAGTACAAAGAGTATTTTTGTTCTCATTTGACGATGCACTTTTGCTTAAAAAGAAAATAAGGAAAGAATTGAGAATTTGATACTGTGCTAACGACAAACACTATAGAAACACTAAACATTACAACTGCAAAATTACCATGAAAATTTTATCATGCAAATTTAATGTAACATTTCTCTGACTACTTACAAATCGTCGTTTTTTAGTTAAAAAGTTAAGACAACTAAAAATAAATAAATAAATAAAAAGCCTTTACACTCAACAGTTCATTTTGTCCACACACAAGTTTTTGAATCCAAGAATCCAAAACAAACTAACGTCAACAAACTTTTGTCTGAGTAAAGACTTTAAATCCGAATCGATTATTTGGAACTGGTATACTTAGTAACTGCTTTAGTCCCTTCGGATACAGCGTGTTTGGCCAGTTCCCCTGGTAGAAGAAGGCGCACAGCCGTTTGGATTTCTCGACTTGTGATAGTGGATCTTTTGTTGTAATGAGCCAAACGTGATGATTCTGCAGCGATTCGTTCGAAAATATCATTAACAAAACTGTTCATGATTGACATAGCTTTACTCGAAACGCCTGTATCGGGATGAACTTGTTTTAACACTTTGTAGATATAAATACTGAAACTTTCTTTCCTTCTCTTTCTTTTTTTCTTCTTGTCGCCGGCACGAACAGCTTTTTGAGCCTTTCCGGCTTTTTTTACTGCTTTTCCACTCGGAGTCGGTGGCATCGTTCTCTTAAAATCGAATCGAAATCAACAAACGCGCCTAAGCTTTGTATTTATAGAGGATTGCGGAGTCCCGGAAAGCTACATCCGTCTTCCCCATTGGATAATGTAAGAACGGCTCTACCTCATTGGTTAACGTCGACCAATGATAGGAAAACGTATTCTGTTTTTTTTATTTGTTTGAAGAAACCAATGAGAATAAACGAATTTTACTAATGTAAAACTTCAAATTTCATTGCTTGAAAATTATAATCGTAAAGTAAAGAAATAGTATAAATGAATGATTAAAGGAAACGTCGAGTGGATAACGACGATAAACAGGGAAGTAGTGACCTGTAGTAAATAGAGTAATGTGAAGAATCTATCGATTGTGCCAGAAATAACGTTCGTTTTCGATTGTTCAGTAAAGGTAATTAGTCGATCGAATAGATGTAATCCTAATACACTAGTATTTTGTGTTAATTACAGAATTATTCAAATTACAGGAACAGAGGCTCTTTTCTATTTCCTGCATCTATAGTTTCAGATGTAAACATCTTATCAATCAGCTGACAGTAAGTAGTAAAATCATCGTATGATATACAAAATAATTATTATTAATTATAGATATACTTTGCTTAAGAAAAACAATAAATTCCCTGACCTTATCTAATCTCTAGTTTTAATTCAATCAAACAGTAAGAATAATTTGAAAATAAATAAATTCTAATCAATGTATGAAATACACAAAAAATTTTTTTTTTTAAATTACATCAAACTATTTAACTTTTAAAGGTTTTTATTTAATATATTTAATTTTTAATTGTGTTATTTTCTTTCCATATAAACCTTTAAATTTTATTTACAGAACTGTACTAATATTTTTTATGTTGTGAATTTTTAATTTTCTTTTTCTTCAACTATAAATATTAATTTTAGAAAAGTAATATATTTAAAGAGAAAAAAGAAAGAAATTCAATACATTGGCAATAATGTTTTATTTTATAAATATTTTCTGTTTAGCGGAATGTAGGCTGATGTATTTTGTGAATGAACATCATGTAAAATTAATGAGAAGAAAAGCAATGTTTATATGTTCTTACACATTCATTTTCTTCCAATTTCACAGTACATTTCTCTTATTATCTATACACATATTTACAGAAAGATATTTATTACTTTTTTCAACAAAAACACTTTAAATAATAAAACAGTAACAGTCATTTTTGAGTATTATAATATTCTATCAATTAAAAAATATTTTAATAAAAAGACAAATCAAATAATTCCATAAAACCAACAACAAACAAAAGCTTATTTTATTTATATATTTAAAATTTTAAATGAAGCTTGTTTGAGTTTTTTTATTAAAACAGTTTCTTTATATATTTCTATGAACAATTTTTGTATTGAATATCTGATTTTATACTACTCAATATAAAAATGAAATTGCAATTGATCTCCCAAAATCCATGTTACAAGTCTTTCTACAATGAGTCTTCTCAAGGCAAGTAGGCAGTATAAAGTACTTTGCCACTTTGCCTTACAAAGTAAAAATATAGTGGAAAAATATTTTTAAGCATTACAGTGGATACAAGTGAAGTAGAAATTGAAAATTCAAAACTATCCGGAGGAAAAAAAGAGCAACACTTTAACTGTATACGATTAAAAATCTCAAATTTTAGTAGGTATTAAATAACATTCACCAGAAAGCTATATTAATTAACATCAGTTATCCGCAAGAAAAATATATAAATCCATTGTATTAATTTTTTTTTAAATAAAAAGATTAAATAGAAAAGTTTTTTGTATTTGACAAAAATGAAGTTTTAAAAGAAATAGCAATATTAGCAAGTTCTTAGGTGATTTATCATTATAAGAATTCATTTAATTAGTANTATTATAGCTCGATATTTAGGCGATCATTTGGTGATTTATTGTATACTACTCAGGCTTTGCGATGTTATTATTTTTAAACATTATTAATGAAACATCTTAATTTTGTTTCGTTTTCTATTCCGATTGGTCACGTAAAGAAAAAATGAATAAAAGAAAATACATGAAAGAATAGAAAATACAATAGTCATATAACATATATTATATTTGCTATTCAGAGAAACAAATCAATCAAACATGAATAAATAAAGATTTTTAAAAATGCTTTATTTGAAGTAGGCAAAGAAAAACAATTACGAAAAAACTCTTTCAATGTTCAAACAGCATAATTCAGTAAATTTAGATTATTTACAAATTGCCAGAAGTGGCTTATTTCATAAAAGGAAACATGAATAATAATGTTTTAGTAACATTAAGATATTCTTGACTAGTTTAATTACTTATATCTTCCTTTTATTTTGTGATTACTATTGGTTTGATCAAAAGGAAAAGGAAATCTAGTGAGACACTGCAGACAAATCTATTGTCATTAATATAATTTTAATGTCCTGAAATGAAAAATATAAAAATAACATGAGTGATATTTTCTGGTATTTTATATTGACTTGATTTCAAAACTTTTATGTTGTTATAAAGTCATATAAAACCTATTCAAGCAATTTATTCTTATACAAGTATAATGAGAAATGTATGTATAAAAACTTGCTTAAATGCACTTAATACTTCATTTATTGCCCATATTATTTTAAAATAAAACAATATTGAATTCTGTCAAAGGAAGAAAACATTATTTAATGTAAAACAGACTACGTATGAATTGAAAGCAGATTGGTTGACTGATCAATTGAAATAATTTTTATTCATATCTTAGTTAAGATTTGTCACAAGGCTAGATAACAAATAAGATTTATTAATCATAATATAAAAAAAGTCGAAGAGGATAAATAAAATATTTAAAAAATATTATTTATATGCAAGATAAAAAAAAAAACATAATTTAATTAATTCTTAATAACAATGTGTAGCAAAAGTCTGAAAGAAGCAGAAATACTAGAAATTGATGTCACCCAATATTAAATTATGTATTGAACAGTAAAGATTAAATATAAATTTAATAATTTATTATTAAATTTA